CTCCTCAAGCAGGTCGACTCTGAGCTCCGTGGGGCAAAGGGAGAGAAAGTGGTCCCTGACTGAAGAGAGAGAGTTAGGGAGACGGGTGACTAGGTAGTAGAGAGTGATGTACATGGGGGGGGGGTTCTTGGCACAGAACTCAGTGGGAAGCGCAGCGCGGTAGCGGGTGTCACTATTGCGGAGGTGAGTAATGAGGTCAGCGACTATGGCAAAGGCAGCAAGGTCAGGGAACAGGTACGGCAGCATGAGGCGGCTGAGAGCAGCAGTGGCAGGGGAGGAGTAGCGCGCGACAACAGCGTCATATAAAGACTTTGCAGTCTTGTACTGGCCAAAGTGCGCGCGCTCAGCAGACGACAGGTGACTACGAACAGCAAGACGAGCAACATCGTCACGAGTGGTCCACTGCGAGCGAACCGTACTGTCAGCAGTGGCAGCAGGTGCAGGAGAGACACCGGACGTGTGATCGAACAGGGAGACTCCGTCCTTGGAGTCGCACTGGAGAAATAACTGTAGGTCGTCCACCCACACCTCGAAGTCAACAGCACGACCCTCAGCATCAAAGGTAAGAACAGTAGGACTAGCCATAGCGGTAGTAGCAGCAGTAGCAGCAGAAGCAGCAGTAGCAGCAGAAGCAGCAGAAGCAGCAGGGCAATGCGGCTCAGTAGGGCGGCGCGGCTCGGTTGGGCGGCGCGGCTCGGCTGGGTGGCGCGGGTGCTTACCAGGGGCGGGTGCAGGGCAGGGCCGCAGCTGGCGATTAGGTCAGGGCCGCGGTTGGGGCGGCAGCAGGGCAGGGCCGCGACTGGGTGGCGGCAGAGCAGGGCCGCGACTGGGGCGGCTGCAAGGCAGGGCCGCGACCGGTGTTGCGGGCGTGACGGCGGCTGCAGGGTGGGGCGCGACAGTGGGGGCCGCGACGGTGGCGGCGATTAGGTCAGGGGCCGCGAAGGGCAGAGGCAGGGCAGGGCCGCGACGTAGGGCGGCAAGAGAGGGCCGCGACTGGCGGCAAAGCAGGGCCGCGACGAGCGGCAAGCAGGGCCGCGACAGGCAGGGGCGCGCGACAGGCAGATGCGCGCGACGGGCAGGGCCGCGACGGGCAGAGGCGCGCGACGGGCAGGGCCGCGACGGGCGGCAGGCAGGGTCGCGACTAGCGCAACAGCAGGGCAGAGGCGCGCAACGGCGCAGGAGAGGCAGGCGCGACAGCGCGCTAGGGGCAGGCTAAACAGTTTCAGTGGTGGGCCCTAAAAAAAGAAACGTTCCCACGGAGGGAACCTGCTCAGAATACCATGTCAGAATAAGAACGAAGGAATGATTGACTAGCAAGCAGTTTGGGTACAAGTAGGAAACCTAGAAATGTTGTACCCTATATGAACTACTCCACTACAGCCTACACAGACTATAGCATATATATGACAGGGATTTGCTGCTGCAACGATATGGGCTGGTTTTTGGGTATTGACTTTGTCAGAGTCAAAGGCATCCGACTAATTTTATTGGCTAACAATCTGAGAAAATTTAACACTCTACCAACAATGTTGGTTAGTTTTGATTTTCCCCCTTTTTTTTTTTTTTTTTTTTTAGTGAAAGCTTATACAAAGAAGTACAAGCAAAACACTACAGTCGTAACTGATTCTACAGGGCTCGAGCCAGGCAAAACACCCAGCCCTCCCCCTGTAACCGTACTGCGGTTTCACGAAAGTTCTCGGGTTCGACCAGATAGACTGGAAACCCCCCTGCCACCTCAGCCCTACTGCCTTGTTGTCACTGATCCGCCGCATGACACGTGCTTTATCGTCCGTCAAATTCCACCTCGCCTTATCTCTCCGCACCTGTCTGCTTGGCCTGCCACATTAGATCCTTGCATGCTTGTTGAACTCTACGTTAATCCTCCGAAGCACTTTCCGCGCCTGAAGCTTTTTTGTCTTGCAGAGGGACACGTCACACCTCCCCAACCAAATCTGGTGCACCGCTACTGCCACCATAGTTGCTTCCGGAAAGCCGGACCTCGTCCCCTCCGCCCCGAAGATGAGGTCTGCTAGGCTGTCAATTCTCCGCGCCGAATTCATCATGTTGAGCGCCGACTTAACCGCCCCCACCACTGGTGCAATGCTCGCACACTCGAGCAAACAATGCTCCATCGTCTCCGCCGATCCGCAATGCGGGCATACCACCCCGCCCCCCAGAAATGAAACCCTCTCTCCCACCTGGAGATTGAGATCTGCACGCGGAGCAAAATGTCTCTCTCCCTGACCGGAACCACCAGGGAGTCCCGGATACTCCTCCCCCGGTCCCAGTTGATTTTCCTACCCGCCCTGGTTTACCAGCTCGCCCTTTTCACTTCCACAGCTTCCGCCCCTTTGCTCGGCTCCATGAGCTTCCTCAGCGGGGGCACATCTTCCCCCTCAAACAGTGTCGACCCTAGAAGCCTTGCCCTCGGGTCCCCAGCCTCCCTAACTTCACGAGATTTGGATAGCTTCACTGGCAACACAATGTCGCAGCCCAGCACTAGCTTCGCATCCCACGACGTTCGTTCTCCACGCCCGCTTAGTCCTCGTAACTCAACCTTCCTTCCCAGTTTGCCGCTGATCTCCCAGAGGCACCTCTGCCCGCTCGGAAATTTAGTACACACCACAGACGACTCAGCCGCTATCGCTTCCGCCATCATAGGCTCCAGCACCCACCGTCTCCATTATTCTGGCGCCGCAAAAAACGCCTTGCGCGCCATCTCCGCCTCTTTTTTGCCCCCCAGTTCCATCGTGAGCATCTCCTTCGATTTCACCACCATGGTACCGTCCCACTTCCGCTGCACCATGTCTCGCATTCTCCATTCCCGCAGCTTCTCGGTACCCTTCTGGTTGCCGAACGGAGCCTTCCCCCGGTGGATGATGTTCTTGTTGAAGCACAACTATTCCTCCGCCACTTCCGATCTTGACACGGCCTCCGGCACCGTAACCACCGTAGACTTTAGTACCACCTTGCAAAGCCTTGCCCACCTCCTGATTTTGATCAGGCCCCCTCTGAGAACCGCCTTGTGCGCATATAGCATTGCCCAGCCCAGAGGTAACCCAGCCGTATGCTCTGTCACCCCGCGCCTGAGAGGGCACTCCTGCAGCAGCGCCAACCCCCCAAACCTCAGAGCCACGATGTCTAATCTTCCTCTCGGATCCACCACCCCTAATCCTCCTTGCTCCCTCAGCGCATACACCAGATCTCCACTTTAGAGCCTGAAGTGCCTTTCCGTATCCGCGTGATTTCCGGACACAAAGTTCTCGATCAATCTCTCTATCCGCCTCCAAAGCAGGTCATCCGGCAGGTACACTTGCGCCTGGAAGAGGAAGATCGGCAGCACGTAACTGTTAATTCACTCTCGCTCTTGTCGTTAGATACTTATTCTGCCACTTGCTTAGTTCTCCCGCCACTCCGTCAAAAGCTTTCTCCCACGTTGCCTCCGTGTTTCCCCCTGGTGATATCCACACCCCGAGCAGTCTTTCAACTTCCTCCTTCCCTACCCATTTATAACTCATCCCGTTCGGCATCTGCTGTCCCACGTTTTACCCCAGCGGCACATCGCTATGCAAGGCCTCAATCCACTTTACAAACCGCGGAAGGAAACCCACCTTGTCAGGTCCTCCGCTGAAGCTTCCTCCAACACCAACCTCGGCGTCCATTCCAGTACCGGCCCAACACTATCCCCCCTAGGAGGCTTTGCAAACGCTTCCCCGAAGTGACGGGTGGCTGCTTCCAAGATCGCTCGTGCCTCCGTGTGGCTGACCCCATCCCGCACAAGCTCATTGATCCCTGACTTGGCTTTACGACGCTTAATCAGTGCTGACAGGAAACCGGTTGGCGTTTCCCGTTCTAACTGCACATTGAGCCCCGTCCGTATCTGCAGGAGATTCCTCCGGCCGTCCCAGTACCTCCGTAACATCGCTTCCCGGTCCGTCAGCAATGCCTGCAGCTTATCATCGCCTGGATCTGCCATCACATTATATTGCAAGCTCTCCACTTGCGCTTCTAGAGTTCTTCTGGTCTGCTTCACCCTCCGCTTCTCCTCTTTGTCATATTTCCACAGGCGGGCTACCAGGTTTCTCGACAGCTTGTCGAAATTTCCGCTCCTCCCCTCGGAGTGCTGCCGCACCACTTTCGCAACCGCCGTCTCCACTCCATGTCTCTTAGCCAGCCGCGCCGGGAACCGCCAGATTCTTGGTCCTTCTTCCTGTGGTGAGTCGCTCTCGCTATTAAGTGCATCAGGGACTGCGACACCAGCACTCTGTCAATCCTCGAGCTAACCTTCGCCAACCTGCAGTAAAAGGTAAATTGTCTCTCGTCCGGATTCAACTCCCGTAACACATCTTTAACATGAGGTGCTCCCCTGGCTCTGTGCTGTCGTAGAGCGCAAAGGAGTATGTGCTGCTGCCTGTGGGGGGAGACGTGGGACAAGGGGTGGAGGGTGGTTAGTGGCATGGCGGCAAGAATCGAAGATCTGCAGCAGGTTGCCAGGCTGTGTGCTGCCGTAGAGGCTCCACCTTTTGAGGCGACTTAGAAGAAGGGCTGCAGTCTAAGAAGTGATTGTCTTGACCAGCAGGATCCACATTCCACACTGAAAAATGACTCTTGCGAAAAAAAATGCATCTCGTAATGGGGGGCGATGTGCAGGGCGAGGGAGTTTGAATGCTAGGAGGAGGACACAAGGGCGGGGAGCTAGACCACCTAGTTGCAGCGAGGAACGTGTTTTGATGGTGGTGAGTGAGAGGATGGGGAGGAGGAGGGGGAGGAGAAGGAGGAGGATGAGGAGGAGGAGGAGGAGGAGGAGGAGGAGGAGGAGGAGGAGGAGGAGGAGGGGGGGGGAGGAGGAGGAGGAGGAGGAGGAGGAGGAGGAGGAGGAGGTGGTGGTGGTGGTGGTGGTGGTGATTGTTTGTACGAAGGTCTCCGTTTGTAAGCAAGTCCCCGTTTGCCGTTTTGAAGCAAGTCCCCATTAACCATTTTTAAGCAAGTCTCGTCTCAGTTTACAATTTTAAAGCAATTATTTCTTTACCGATTTCCAGCAAGTCTCCATCCTCCAACATGTCGAGTATGTTGCTCGCCCTCCACTCCAGGTCCACAAACCCGGCCCATGCATTGCTGATGCTCTCCCTCATCTGCTGCACCGATGCGTTGGGTGGCACTGGGCGGCGCAAGATGGGAATGGCAAACACTGCGGGGAGGAGGGGGGAGAATGGGGCGGGCCGAGGTGACTTTTGAGTCGACTCAGAAGTCGGTGCAAGATGGGAATGGCAAAGACTGCGGGGAGGAGGGAAAATGGGGCGGGCAGAGGTGGGGAGGGCAGGGGTGGGGCAGGCAGGGGGGGGTCCATTCGCGTCTATGGGGCGCCTCAGAACAGGGATGGGAAGGCAGGAACAAGCGGAGGCACTGTGTGGGAACGTGGGAGAGAGACGGCGCATCACATGCACACATGCATACATGCACACATGCACACATACACACATACATGCATGCACGCACACATGCACACATGCATGCACGCGCACATGCACACATGCATGCACGCACACATGCACACATGCATGCACGCACACATGCACACATGCATGCACGCACACATGCACACATGCATGCATGCATGCATGCATGCACACATGCACACATGCATGCACGCACACATGGACACATGCATGCATGCACACATGCACACATGCATACATGGGTTTGCAAGCCTGAAGCTAGAAACGAGCACAGGCTTGAAGGGTGCATGACGAAGGGAGGCGTTTTTGTGTTAACGAAAGGTGGGGTAGGATGGAGCATAATATAGAGCATAACATAGAAATTGAGCATATCATAGAAATTGAGCATAACATAAAAATTGAGCATAACATAGAAATTGAGCATAACATAGAAATTGAGCATAACATAGAAATTGAGCATAACATATAGCAGAACATAGATTCTAAGCAGGGCGTTTCAAATCGAACCAGAGGCAGTTACCCAACTGCACCACTGGACACGTGACCGGGGGACCGAGGAACACAGGGAGGGTTGCACTGGACTGGGCTTGCCTGCAAGCGCACACGCACTGTTTGAGGCGGCCCAAAAAGAAAGAGAGGAATGAGAAACGGCCACACGCACCACTGGACACGTGACCGGGGCCGAGGAACACAGGGGGGGCTGCACTGGACTTGCCGCCAAGCACACCCACACACCGTCTGAGGCAGGCTAGAAGGAAAAGCAAAACGTGAGCACGTACCACTGGACACGTGACCAGGGCCGATGAATACAGGGGGGCCAGAACTGGGCTTGCCGGCTTGCAGGATGTTGAAGATGTGTGGCGGGATGAGAGGGGCGAAGTCGGTGAGAGGCGGCACCTCAATGCCCTTGTCCATGTTACCACAGACGTTCACCGCATACAGTTCCTTGCGTGGCGAGGGCAGGCCCAGCACGGACCCGACCTCGCACCCTGTGATCTTCTCCACTGTGGCCCTGCGTGGGTGGGAGTGTGGTGGGGGTGGGTGGGAATGGGTGGGAATGGGTGGGAAAGGAAGGCAACGGGTGAGATGAAAATGGGTGAGAATGTGCCTCCAGCACAGAGCGCACCTGGCACCCTGTGATCTTCTCCACTATGGCCCTGTGTGGGTGGGTGGGTGCGTGAGTGGGTGGGTGGGTGCGTGAGTGGGTGGGTGGGTGGGTGGGTGGGTGGGTGGGTTCGTGGGTGAATTCGTGGGTGGGTAGGTGGAGAAGACACGCATCCACAACAAAGCAAACAGACATGGGGAACACGCATCCCCCTCACCTGTCCTGCTTCTCCCCCTCACCTGTCCCCCTCCTCCCCCTCACCTGTCCCCCTCCTCCCCCTCACCTGTCCCCCTCCTCCCCCTCACCTGTCCTGCTTCTCCCCCTCACCTGCCCTTCTTCTCGCCCTCACCTGTCCCCCTCCTCCCCCTCACCTGTCCCCCTCCTCCCCCTCACCTGTCCCCCTCCTCCCCCTCACCAGAATGGTTGGCAATGCAGTTTTGAGCCGCCTCACAAACTGCCTCCCGCACCTCGCATGCTGTGTTCAGTCTGTATTACTCCACCACGCTCCACCACCTTCAACCACCATCACGCGGTGCCTCTCTCACTCACCTGTCCTGCTCGTGGAGAACCATGATGAGGGTGTTGCTGCTGCTGTAGGTGGCGATGCGATCGGCCCACCAAGTGAATTCCAGCAGAGACTCGTTGCTCACATCACATCACAGCCAATACAACCTCCAGCCCTCACCTGTCCTGATCCTGCAACACCATGATGAGGGTGTTGCTGCTGTAGTTGGCGATGCGATCGGCCCACATCGTGTACTGCAGTAGAGACTCGTTGTTCACGCACCCCGCCAGCCCCCAATAGCTCAGGTTGCTGCTGCTGCGCGGCCCAAACGAGCCCAGCATCTTCATCAGCCCCGTGCCCTCCTGATGTGTGCGTGTGTGTGTACGGAGCAAAGGGGGGAAAGATGAGGACTGCAATGCTGCTGCTACGCGGCCCAAACGAGCCAAACACCTTCGTTAGCCCCGTGCCCTCCTGGAGTGTGTGAGTGTGAAGTTGGGGGGGGGGAAGAGATGAATATGGAGAAGAGGGAGGCTTGAGAGAGAGAGAGAGCACATACAAGTCAAACTCCATTTGAACTCTTGGACTTGGACTCAGTTAAACGACTGACTCCAATGCTGCAACAAGGGCCCTACAAGCCAAGCCAAACACCTTCATCAGCTCAGCCCCGTGCCATCCTGGTGTGTGTGTGTGTGGGTGGGTGTGTGAAGACAAAAAGGGAGTAAACGTAACGCATTCATGAAGAAGGACCGCAGTGCTGCTGCTGCTGCACACCCCAAAGGTATTCATAAAGTGCCAAACACGATCAACACGTTCATCAGCTCAGCCCCGTGCCGGGACTGCGATGCTGCATGAAATAAGTGAAGTTTTGAGACATCTCAAAACTCAGCCCTGTGCCGGGACTGTGATGCTGCTGCACACCGCAAGCGTGCCAAACACGCTCATCGGCTCAGCCCCGTGCCTTTGTGTTGTACATAGAGAATATTACAACACCTAGGGGGGACAGATAGGTGATATTAAAAAATGAGTCTCATGCTGCTGATGAAAAGTTTTGAAGAAATACTCTAAACAAGGGAAGATGTGGAGAGGGAGAAGGGCGGCGGTGAGGACGGAGAGGGGCGGCAGTGAGGAGGGAGAAGGGCGGCAGTGAGGAGGGAGAGGGGCGGCGGTGAGGAGGGAGAAGGGCGGCAGTGAGGAGGGAGAGGGGCGGCAGTGAGGAGGGAGAAGGGCAGCAGTGAGGAGGGAGAAGGGCGGCAGTGAGGAGGGAGAAGGGCGGCAGTGAGGAGGGAGAAGGGCGGCAGTGAGGAGGGAGACAACAAGGACGACACGAGCGGCAGCGGTGCATTCTCCCCCTCAGCGCCCTCTCCCCCTCAGCGCCCTCTCCCCCTCAGCGCCCTCCCCCCCTCAGCGCCCTCTTCCCCTCAGCGCCCTCTTCCCCTCAGCGCCCTCTCCCCCTCAGCGCCCTCTACCTTGGTGCGCGCAAGGGGCGCAACTACTGGCGCATCCGCCCCGCAACTACTGCCGAGGCCCCGTGAGGAAAGGGAGAGAGAAGCGCGCAGGGCTTGTGGGGATTGGGGAAGCGCGCAGGTTGCTGGGATGGGGGGAGCGCGCAGGCTTGCTGGGATGGGGGGAGCGCGCAGGCTTGCTGGGATGGGGGGAGCGCCCAGCTTGCTGGGATGGGGGGAGCGCGCAGCTTGCTGGGATGGGGGGAGCGCGCAGGCTTGCTGGGATGGGACTACTAGCATTTTGCGAAGTACGGGGAGGGCGGAAACACCTGCGCTGAAGCACCCGCGCGCAAGAACTCGGCGCGCGCAGCATCCCAAAAAAGTTTGGCCCAAAAAGCCCCCCCCAGGTTACCCACAGCTTACCCCCTGGGTGGATACCCCGGGGTCCTTGTCTAGGTAACCCGCGGGTCACCACTGCAGCTTTCACTTCGCGTGGTGACCCCGAGGTTACCCACAGGTGGTGACCCACGGGAAACCTTCCGGTGACCACTCCCAGCATTTCGGAGCGAATCACACGCGAGCCGTGTCCTCGCTGTGAAATGTTCGCCAACAGCACAGATAACTGCCTACAGTACACCAACCGAACACTACAGTAGTTTGTCCAACATTTAACCCAAAACGAAAAATGCCCACGCTTTTGTTTTAATGATATCACGCAGATTATGTTGGTACCCTAAAATAACATTTCGATATAACTATATATTATAAGCATATCTACAGGGTTTCATGATTCTTCGATTACGATTTGATAACCTTTATACGAGTACTCATTTGTTTTGAGCAAATTGCAATTACAATATCAGCACTTCCATCATTCAGTTATATACACACTTGCAATGCCGGGAAGCATTACATGGCAAGGAAACAATTTCAGAAATAAACTCTTCCTAACGTGCACATAACGTCCCCCTAGTGGAGAGCCAGGGCCGAAGCTCAATACCCTACTTATTTTGCTGTGCTCCTGCAACATAGCAGAGGACGAAAACAGGAACAAACGAAACAGCAGCAACACAGCCACATGGCGTCAAAGCGACATGGCGTCAAGCAGGAATCTCACCTCACGACTAATGCAGCTTCCACGGACATGCATCTCCAAAACCTTTAAAGACAAAGGCAATCAAAAGGAATGAAAGAAATTTTGTGACTGGGAGAAGGAATGACGAAACCTGGCTGCTGTCAAAGAAAACGGTGACAATAAGCCATGAAGCAAACGGAATGCGCGGCGCTCTTCGTGCAACCCCATCGTACAGCATTTCAGCTTACCTCACGACGAGCACTATGTTGGGCTTCAATGAACAACGGTTCTGGTAGATACGCATCGACGTCGAAAAATCACGCTTCGCTCCCGTGTTCGATAGTCTGCCATAAAGAAAAGATAATGAAATAAGAGATTAGATGCATGTCACGGTAACAACGGCTGAAATAAAAGATACTATGACGTCGCGAGTGAAAAAGTGACGGAACATAATTCATAAACGTGCCCGCGAAACTTAACCATATTAGAATCTACCAGAGCTAACAACCTGCTACTTGTTCAAGTAAGCTGCGTGGAGCATTCGAAGTAGCTGCTCTACGTGAGTATCATGAGCTGAACGCGAACGTAGGAATGACGAGTGAGTAACAGCATGGATAAGGATAAGTACTCGAGAGGTGCTGGGAGAGGAGAGGCAGTAGAAGGTGGTCTCAAGAGCTCCGATTGGTTTGTGAACTAAATTGTGCCACGTAACCCAACCCATCACTGTATCTACCATATGTAGAGCGATGCGATTGTACCAACGTAGAATCAGAGAAGAAACAACTGTAATTTATCAATTCGACATGCTGAGAAACGAAGTGTACAGTAAAATGCTTACCGCGCCATTCCCGTATGTGGCTGCCTTGGCAGAAGCAGAGTAGCGACAAAAAAGGCAGGGCCATGAACTTTCCCGCCAACGTTGGGGTAACCTCGGGGTACCCCCACGAACTGTAAACCGTCCCGATTGGCCGAATGCCCTGTTACCACGGTGGGCGCTAAGGGTGGCGGTCGTCGCTGACTTCGCCCGTGTCTGGGGTTAGGCTGTAGGTAACACTGAGGGAACTTGTGGGTCACCCCGTGAGGGTGACTCTGGGGTCTCCCGCATTTTCGAAGTGATTGTTGCACAGGGAATTTTGGGATGAGTACCGAGAGCGCAATAACTCGGCGCGCATTACTACCTCGGCGCGCGCAATGGCGGAGCGGATGTCCTGGTGGAGGTAGCGCACGCGCGTGCGGCACCACACGCGGATCGCCTCCTGCCGCGGCTCGTCCGCCTGCTTGTGCGCAAACCACACCACCCACGCGCACAGCCCCACCCATCCCGCCACCCACGCCACGCCCAGCAGCACCCGCCCCGCGCCGCCCCACCGCGCGCCCAGCAACGAGCGCGCCATCAGCTATCAGCCCGCCGTGTCGCCATCAGCTGTCCGAAATAGTTATTCTTCCAGATTGGGGTTGTCTGCTGATACTAACACTATCATGACGTGTGGCACGCTTTTACTTTGCAGGCGATACAGGCCAGCGCACCACTACCGCTACAGTTTTGTAAAGGTGAGAATTGTAACTTACCTTGGAGTAAGCTAAATTATTCTAAAGATGAAAGCTTTCATTGGAGTAAGCTAAAAGTATAAAACTATAGAGAGGATTACTGGTTATGAAACTGGATGCTTCTCGTTTGGCTAGCTTTTGCAACAAAAAAAATGTTTCTTTCTGTGCACGTTTGGCCAGTTCCATCACCCGAGGAAGCACCTTCAGCTTTTCCCAGCCTAAACTCCAACCAACATCACGTTCCCAAGGTTCCCGCCTAGATAGGTTAGCCCGCTATATTATCTCGCGTCATTCATTGTATCGTCAGTCTATATTGACATACGGTAGTGTCAAATTATATATTTATGTTCATTAGATTTCTTAGGCTAGAGTGAGGCACATAGTACAGGGTACAATATTTCTCTCGACTCTCCTACTTGTACCCTTCTCCCCATAGTCAAATCATCCATTCTTCAAGTTATGATTCTCACACAGTATACAGCATAGGTCGTTCCCATGGGCCCACCGCCCCGCGCCCCGCCCTGGTCTCGCCCGTCGCCCGTAGCCCCGAGCTCGCGCCCCGTAGCCTGATGCCTCATAGCCCGACGCCCCCACGCCCGATGCCCGCGGCCCGTACCCCGTAAGTACCCCGCACCCCAACGCCCGCGCCTTGTAGCCCGTACGCACCCCGTCGCCCCGTATGCACCCCGCGACCTGCCCGCACCCTGTCGCCCCGTACGCTCCCCGCGACCTGCCTGCACCCTGTCGCCCCGTACGCACCCCGCAGCCCGTCCGTGCGACCCACCCTGCCACCCGAGCTGTACGGCCCCGTGGCCCCCCGGTAGCAGGCCCTGCAACCCCCTGTCAGAAGGCCCCGCGCCCCCCCAGATCGAAGGCCCCGCAGCCCCCCGATAGAAGGCCCCGCGCCCCCCCCCCCCCCATCCGAAGGCCCCGCGGCCCCCCACTAGCAGGCCCCGCGCCCCTCGCTCCCCCCACCCGCTCCCGTTCACCCACCGTCGCCCTTCCCTCCTAGCCGCACCCAGTCCCCCTCCCACCGCACCCGACCGCTCCCAACCGCGGCCCACTGCTCACGACCCCTCCTAGCCGCACCCGACCGCACTTCATCGCACTAGACCCCTCCTAGCCGCTCTCGACAGCACTCCACCACACTCGACCCCTCTTAGACGCTCCCAACTGCAGCCCACCGCTCATGACCCCTCCTAGCCGCACCCGACCGCACTCCACCGCACTCGACCCCTCTCAACCGCACTCCACCACTCTCAACCGCACCCGACCGCATCCGCCCGCACTCGAGCCTCCTTAGTCGCCCGTACTGTAGCCCGTACTCCCGCTCGCACTGCTGCCCACTGCGACTAGCACTGTAGCCCGTGTTGCCGTCCGTACTGCTGCTCACTGCCGCCCGTATTGCCGCTCACTGAGCGCCCACCCACCCGACCGTCATGTGGCACCACCGTCTTGGTCACCCGTCCCTCCGACGCCTCCGTCACATGTCTAGCCTCCGTCTTGTCTCAGGTCTTCCGCCCTCGTTTCGGTCGCTCCTTGCACTACTCTTGCTGACCTTGGGTTCAGTCCTTCGTCCGCCGACCCTTAACCGTTCGTGTGTTCTGGTCCCACTCCCTTCTTCGTTCTCATCTACATCGATGACATGGCCTTCGCTACCGTAGACATAGCCGTTTTGGCTTCAGTGAAGTCTGAACTGCAAAAGAGACACACGTGCACTGACCTTGGTGAACCGAGCTGCTACCTTGGCTTGCAGATCACCAGGGACAGAGCCGCTCGTTCCATCACACTGACTCACTCACACATGGTGCAGCAGGTCCTTCAGCGGTTTGAGCTTCAGTTCTCCACCACACAGCCCACTCCTCTTGCAGTTGACCACAGACTCACCTCTCCTCTTCTAGACGAGCTCTTTGAGTCTAGTGGTCCCTATGCAGAGCTTGTGGGTTGCATCATGTACCTGATGATCTGTATTCATCCGGACCTCACGTATCCTCTCATCGTCCTGACTCGCTTTGTTGCGACTAGGAGACACCGCCCTGCTCACTAGGCGGCTGCTGTGAGGGTTGCGTAGTACCTGGCAACTACATCAGGAATGGGGCTAGTGTTTGGAGGGTGAGAGCCAGTTGTACTGACTGGACACTGCGACTGTCCTACGCCGAAGTCTTGGAGACATGCAGGTCTACTCAGGGCACTGCTTCAGCTTGGGCTCTGGAGTCGTGTCGAGGAGGTCTACTCGGTCGTCGTCTGTGGCTTCGTCCTGTGCTGAGGCCGAGGTCCACGCCAGTGCCATGGCTGCATAGGAGCTTCGCTGGTTGACCTACTTGCTCACTGACCTAGGTGAGCGGCCTAGCTCTGCACCGACCTTGTTTGCTGACAACAAGGCCATGATCCTTTTGTGTCGAGAGCCTTGACTGGAGGGCAGAGTGAAGCACACTGACTTGCGGTACTTTTTGCTGCGCGAGCTCCAGCGACGTGGCCAGGCACGCTTGGCCTTTGTAGCCTCAGCGGCCAACACTGCAGACATCTTCACCAAGGCCCTTCCGTCTGGTGACCACCACAGGTTCTGTACAGAGCTTGGCCTTGTTCAGACAGGCCCTCGTTTGTTGTTTCTATATATATCTGTCTCTGCTTGTTATGCTGTTTATATATATATTTGTGAGCTCTTGAACTGCCCTTT